TGGCAATAAGGGAATTTACCATCTGAGTTATTGTGCCTGAGATACAGCACTGGTGGAAACAGGGGGGTTGGTTATAACAAGTTTTTAAGAGGGGCTGGAAGAGGGTTTTTTTTAGGGGGAAACAGCTTAAAACTGTTCTTAGCAGAGTTTAAACGCTGGAGCAGAGATCTGAAGGTAAGAAAACTGTGAGGGTCTGTTCTGGTCTGACATATCGGTCTAGGACAAGTTTTACTTCCTAACTATCCAAATTTATGCATTTATAAAGTGGGAGGGCTGGTAAGAATTGATTCTGGTTTAATGTCTCCCAGGGTGATCTTGTGTTATTTGGTTCAAACAGGAGACTGTCCTTTAAAAGCTTGTCACTGCTTGTCTCAACACTCAGAATAGCCCAGAGTTTCTAAATTTCCCTTAAATTAGGGTTTCAAATATAGAGGAGCATGTCTGAAGGTGACTGGGAAAATATTCTATATTCAATGCAGTCAGTACATCTGAGGAGCTCTCTTATCTTTTTTTTTATTTTACTTCTTTTGAGAAAATTCAGTTTATTCTCCAGATATATGACTCTTAAGCTGGAATTTTTTCCCTTTAATTCTCTATTTCTGCTTCTCTGACTTCATGTCTCTGTGAGCACTTGGAGAGCACCAGGTGAACAAGCTGCATGAATAAAACACCTGTTTATTCTCCCCTTTTTTGCTCTTCATGAGTTCTTGTGGATGTGTTGTCTGACCTCCAACCTCTGGCTGAAATGGGAGGACCTGATTTGACTGGATACAATATAAAATAGTGGGAAAATGGGCTTTTAAACCTCTTTCTCTTGCTGTTGGTGTCTCTCCTGTAGCTGCGCCACGAGGCCTGTCTCATCATGGCAGTAAAAGCACTGCAACGGATGCTCTTCTGTGACCTTCCCTACCTGACTTCCTTCTTGGAGATAGCCCTGGCCTTTGGGGTGAGTGCTGGACACTGATTCCTGCTCGAAGAGATTAAATCAAATGGCATTTAAAATCTCTGCAACACCCTCCTGGAGGTTTTAGACACATTTAACTTGTTTCAGCTTTGCTCTTTATTTTAGTCTTTTTGCTGTTGGGTTTTTTTTTTTATTTTTTATTTTGAAGAAATTGTTGCTACCTCAGTTAAATCACTGATCCTACTTTATCTCACCCTAGAATAACTTCTGGGCTCTGAGGCTGCTACTGGAGCACCTGTCCTACGAAAAGCACGTTCTCCATGGCACTGTCTCCCTGATTCTGAGAGACCTCAGTCATCAGAAAGCAACAGTCCTAAAACTGTGAGTAAACACTCGCTGCTGAGCTCTGTTTGTTTATGGAAATAGCAGCAGAGATAATCCTCAGCTCTTGGAAAGCAGCCAGTGCTCTGGAGAAGGCAAGGATGCCAATGCCAGGAGCAGCCCAGGTGAGTTGTCTCAGCAGCCCCTCTGTTTGCAGGTGGCAGAACCTCGGTGCCCAGTACGTGGGCGAGTTCCTGTGCCTGTTCCTGACCTGCAGGCACCAGGAGATGCAGAACATTGGCCTCTTCACCCTGAACATCATCACAGAGAACCTGCACATGTGAGTGGGAACTGCCCCAGAGCCACAGGGAAAATCCTGGGGCTGCCTCAGAGCAGGGCTCACAATCTCCCTCTGTGTTTCAGGTGTCCGTGGGCAAAGCATCTCAGCACCTTTTTCCACAATTCAGTGAGTACCTCAATGGTTTTATATTTATGTATGTTTTTATATT